CACACTTCCTTGAGGAACACTTGCCCCAATACTAAGTCTTGTTGGTTCTATTCCGTTGAGAACTACCCTTAGAGATCTGCCATGAAGGTAATCACTAAGGAGATGTAGCGTAGAGCCTGAAATTTCCAGTGCTTGCAGTTTTGCCAAGAGGCCCTGGTGCCACACTCGGTCGACAGCACCAGCAATGTCCAGTGCTACCACACAGCTGACTTTGGATTCATCCAGTGACTGGTGCCATTTAGTGGTGAGGTTTAACAACAGATCAACAGCAGAGTAACCTTTCCTGAAGCCATATTGACGATCACAAAGTAGTGAATGCTAGTCAAAAAACTGTCATTTGTCTTGAGATTATTGTCTCAAGGATCTTGCCAGTGATTGACAGGAGTGACACTGGTCTATAAATGCTGATTTCTGGTCTGCTCTTCTTTTTGTGAGCAAAGACCACATTTGTCTCTTTCCATAGAGAAGTCCATTTACACTGTACTAGGCAGTGCTGTAAGATGCGAATTAGAGGTGCTGCTAGCTGGTCTGTACATCTCAGCAATCTTGGGCTCAACTTGTCTGGGCCCACAGCGTTTTCTTTGTCAAGCGATTAGAGAAGGAAATGCTCCTCCTCCTGCCTTATTGTCACCACTGACAGTTTTGACACAGTTATTGCAGCTAGCCAAGGAGAGTCCCTTGCTGGATCTCTCTCAGCTTCCGGAACTTTCTCCAGTCACCAGTACAAAGCTGTTTCATAAGATAGAAAAAGGCAGAAATTAGCAACATTAATAGTGAAGTTCCTGGACCTTTATGGGTGAAACAGTAGGAGGAAAAAACTGGGAATCCCAAAGATAAACGTAAAATAAATGGGAGCTAAAGAGGAGGAGGACGTATTTTCCTCTTCCCCCCCCCCCGTCCCCCACTCTTTTTCTTCTGTATCTGGGATAAGCCATTCTGAGAGACGACTCAAGTGGCAGCAACTCCAGCTTTGCTAGAGCGAAAGTTTTGAAGCTTTCTTAGCTGATGAACCTTTAACTTGACGACATCCACATTGCCTTACTGTACTCTACCAGCTCAGGCTGGCACATTTCAACAATTATGTGTCTGACCCATATTATAACACTATTTTACTATCCTACAAAATACTGTAGCAACACACTGCTGATGTATCCATTTTTGCCAAAATCTCTGGTGTAGTGTAGCGCCTCATCACCACTGGTGTAGTGTAGCGCCTCATCACCACTGGTGTAGTGTAGCGCCTCATCACCACTGGTGTAGTGTAGCGCCTCGTCACCACTGGTGTAGTGTAGCGCCTCATCACCACTGGTGTGTGTAGCGCCTCGTCACCACTGGTGTAGTGTAGCGCCTCGTCACCACTGGTGTAGTGTAGGGCCTCATCACCACTGGTGTAGTGTAGCGCCTCGTCACCACTGGTGTAGTGTAGCGCCTCGTCACCACTGGTGTAGTGTAGCGCCTCGTCACCACTGGTGTAGTGTAGCGCCTCGTCACCACTGGTGTAGTGTAGCGCCTCGTCACCACTGGTGTAGTGTAGCGCCTCGTCACCACTGGTGTAGTGTTGCGCCTCGTCACCACTGGTGTAGTGTAGCGCCTCGTCACCACTGGTGTAGTGTAGCGCCTCGTCACCACTGGTGTAGTGTAGCGCCTCGTCACCACTGGTGTAGTGTAGCGCCTCGTCACCACTGGTGTAGTGTAGCGCCTCGTCACCACTGGTGTAGTGTAGCGCCTCGTCACCACTGGTGTAGTGTAGCGCCTCGTCACCACTGGTGTAGTGTAGCGCCTCGTCACCACTGGTGTAGTGTAGCGCCTCGTCACCACTGGTGTAGTGTAGCGCCTCGTCACCACTGGTGTAGTGTTGCGCCTCGTCACCACTGGTGTAGTGTAGCGCCTCGTCACCACTGGTGTAGTGTAGCGCCTCATCACTACTTTATGCGCTACTTCTTAAGGAGTTTGGTGCTTCACGGAGGTACGTAATAAGAAATAGTGTGGGTTGTGTTGTGTGAGGCCTCGAATGAACATTACTGCATCTCCAATACTTTGTTTAGTGATTAGTGCGGAGGCTGGAGTCTGGCTGCATTTTTGGGCTACTTTTCTCTCTCTCTCTCTCTCTTCTCTCTCTCTCTCTCTCTCTCCAACCTTTTTTTCCCCCTTTCCATCCCTAGTAACAGCTCTTCTTTCTTCGCCTTTCTATTCTTACACGTCTCCGTGTTTTCTCTTTCTCTTTCCCCTTCAGCTCGTGTTTCTTCTTTATTCCTATTTCAGTTTATCCTTGGTTCTCCTTACGCTAAAAATATATAATTAGTAATTTCTTTTTAAATCCACTATTCCTCATTTCACCTAATTAGTTTTCTCTCTCTCTCTCTCTCTCTCTCTCTCTCTCTCTCTCTCTCTCTCTCTCTCTCTCATTTTTTTTTATTTAAGTTGACTTCCATTATCTCCTACAAAGCTTTCACCATTTCGAAACTCATTCCAACTCATTTTTTATTCCTGTTTCTCCATTCCTCAGTTCCTCCTCTTTTACATATTTTTAAATTTGTTTTTTTATACTCTCTTAACTGACCACTTCTCACTAGCTGCATTCTTTCCTCCCTCCCTCCCTCCCTCCATCCCTCCGGTTCTTCTTACATCAGCCTCCTCTCTCTCTCTCTCTCTCTCTCTCTCTCTCTCTTTTCTCTCTCTCTCTCTCTCTCTCTCTCTCTCTCTCTCTCTCTCTCTTTCTCTTTCCTTCCATAAAATATTTGCTTCGCTATCCTCTCATCGCCCGTTAACTCCTACTTCATTTATTTTCGCCTCCTCTTTCAGCCATCTATCCTTATCCTCTGCCAAGTCTCTTCCGTCCTTCCTTCTCTGTCCATCTTTTCTTATCCCTCGTCCATCCTTCTCTTTCACCCATCATTCTCTTCCATTTTACTTTTTTTTCAGTATATTCATTACAATTTATTTCTTCCGTCCATTCTTCTTTCTCTTCCGTCATTGCTTCCATTCCTGTCTTTCATTCTCTCCCTCTTCCCTCGGAATTATCAGACTGTTGCTCCTCCATACAGGTTTAGCGCTTGATATAAATATAATATACAAAATCAAATAACCTGCCAAAACTATTTTATATGTTTTTTTTTATCTGTTTTCGTATTGAACATCATTAATATTATGGCTGTCTGCTGAAGAGGACCTCAGCTTTGGGTTGAAATATACAGATTGCCCTTCATCGTCGGATTTTCTCCTGTGGAATTTACTCTCTTCCTAAGCAGTGTTTATTATTGCTGTATTGGAGAAGAGGCTACATAGTAGGCCAGTAGGCATGTTGTAGTGCTCCTTCCCTGTTTTCATATGTCAACATGGGCACCGCCTCAAGGACGCCATCTCCAAACTCTGCATCTTACTTCTTTCTCGGGTGTAAAAGGCTTCTTGTCATGCTTTATTTAAACCTTGATCAATTAGACACTTTTGCAACACTTTGGTATCTTTATTGTGGAAACGTTACGTCACACAGTGGCTTCATCAGTCCAATATAAAAAAGGGTGTTTCAAGATCAGAAAGAGTTTGATATAATCAGTCCCTCAGCCTGGAGTAGATGTAATCAGTCCATCAGTCCTGAAAAGAATACAGCATATACGCGCAGAAGTAGCTAATATTCTGTAGATAGGTGAGGTGAAGCAATCGTAGGCGGCGTCTCCTTGGACAAATCCATACGTGGAAGTAGGTCATGCGTATAGGTTAGGCAAAGCCTCGCGTTAGCCGGGTGGTGTATATCGTTTTCATCAGGATGCAACCCATATCAGTCGACTAGCACCCAGGTACCTACTTTACTGATAGGTGAACAGGGATAGCAGGTGTCTTAAGGAAACACGTCCTAATGTTTTTATCCGTACCGGGTATCGAACCACGGACACTGTGTGAAGCGAGAGCGTTGCCCACCAGACCACGGGAGATATTCGTTGGAGAAGTGATCTCCAGACGTCTGTGACTACAGGCAAGTGTATAGCCATTCAACTAGGTTGAACACGGATGGTCGAGCCTTCACCACGCTTTGCGCTGAATGTTCCACATGGGTTTAGCGCTTAACATGAATTTAAATAATAACTAAGAGTTACTTCCCCAGTCTGGCTTGATTAATTGTCCTGATACCAAGATTGTATTTCATGATATAAAATAGAGAAGAAACCGTTACTTGTCGTAGTCATTAATGGAAGACGAGTAAATTGAAATTTACCAAGATTGGGAAAGAGGGACCAAAAAAAGAATAGAGGAAGGGCGAAATGGAAGAATAATAGGGGGAAAGGAAAGGACTGAATAGGGTGGAGTAGTAAGGGACTGAGAGGGGGAGGGAGGGAGAGATGATGGTGGAAAGGGATGCTAAACAGCAGTGTGAGACGAAGTCGAGGGAGCAGCTATTGTGTAAGAGCCTGAAGGAAAGTGTGGGTAAAGGTGGATCACAGCTGGAGGAAGCTACGAGATAATTACTCAGATATTGGAAGTGTGTATATGTGTCTCACGAAATCGTAATGACACGATTGAAACACACCATACCACGGGCGGGATTTGAATCCGCGGTCAGAGAGTCTGGAGTTTTGAGACTCTCTGGCCGCGGGTTCAAGTCCCGCCCGTGGTATGGTGAGTGTGTGTGTGTGTTTGTGTTTGTGTGTGTGTGCGCGTGCGTGCGCGCGCGTGTGTGTGTACGTACATGTATGTACGTACGTCAGGTCTCACTTCCTGACTCTGCTTCTCAACTTGCCTCTTACTGAGTTTTCTTCCTCTTAGCCTCACGGACACTGTCATACCTTAGTTTAGAAAAACAAGTAAGCAACAAGACTACGACATATTTTAGGTCCTAGGACCTAGTGTTTACTTACATGCTTTTCTAAACCAGCTTGTCGGTATCCATCACCAAGGTTTATGCCACACTGCCATACCTTCTCTTAAAACTATGCATGGGGCGTGTCTACACGATCTTCAGCCTAACTCGCCTCAGACACTAACTAAACATTTTTTCTCCTTTACAGGAGCGATGTTCAGCAGTGACTCGCGAGAGTACCAAGGAGCCTTCTTGCACGCTATTAATCAGTATAATCAGAACACCACCGGCCGAAGGCTTCATGCTTACGTGGACCTCATCAGTACGGCGGACGCCTATAAGATCTCCAGACTCAGTGAGTACCTGTTAGACTCTCCGTTATTTATATTATGTATATAACACAATTGGTCAGCATTTGGGAATCTTTATTATGGAATAAAGATTGACAGATGTTGCCCAAGTATCTAGTGAATAAATTTAGATTTAGAAAGGATATAGGAAAGTACTGGTTTGGAAATAAAGTAGTCGTTGAGTGGAACAGCTTACCTAGAAGTGTTATTGAAGCTAAAACCTTGGGTAGCTTCAAATTTAGATTAGATAAATATATGAGTGACAGGGGGTTAGATCTGAGTGGGTTTTGCATTCAAGTTAACGGGGTTATCAAAGCTTTTTCCTTGGGTAGCATTGAAAAGAGGTTGGGTAACATTTTTGTTAATGGGTTCGGGTTTGAGGAGAACCTGTCTAGTATAGGCCGATAGGCCTGCAGCAATGTTCCTCTGTTCTTATGTTTTAAAAACATTTTCATCCATCCATCCCCAGAAACCTTAAAATACTTCCATCCTTCCAATATAAACTCATCCCCAAAAAAGAAAATGTTTTTCACCCCATTAAAAGAAGTCGCTCGCCTCAAAAAAAAAAAAAAAAAAAAAAAAAAAAAAAATTACCCATCTCCCAAAAAATAGAAGTTACATCCCCAGTAAAAAAAAAAATAAAAAGTCCCCATCCAATAGAGAAAAGTTTCCTACCAACAAAAGACAAATATAAACACCACATTGATTCAACAAAAGCTTATGAAAACGCCGCATTTTCACGCTCATAAATTATGGAACATTCTTCTGAAATGAAGTAATCAAACTTTTTTTTAACAAATTATTAGAAGGACTGAGAGTGTGAAACAGCTGGAGAGAAATATTATCAAATGCTGACGCGAATAATCCACACACATGCAGTGCAATGAAGTTCTTTGACAACGTTTCGCTCACACAGTGGGCTTCTTAATGTCACCAGTGGGAATGTAAACACGTAAGAAGTATAATGTGATCCTTTATTGACTTGATCAAGCCTACACTGTGGGCGAAACATTGTCAGTAAAGGATCACATTATACTGCTTATGAGTTTACATTTCCATTGTGCCGGTATTTTATACCATTTGTTTCCAATGTAGCCAATAATGCCCACTTTGTGGGCGACACATTGTCAATAAAGGTTCTCATTTGTAGATGAATGGTTCAGAGAACCGACATGTTGATAAATTAGACACATGTGCAACTCTTGGGTATCTTTATTGAGGAAACGTTTCGCCACACAGTGGCTTCATGAGTCCATACAAAGGAGAATCTTCAAGAACAGGAGTAGAATGAGGCAATCAGTCCCTCAACCTTGAGTCGATGTGGTCAGTCCATCAATCTTGAATAGAATCCAAGATTGATGGACTGACCACATCGGCTCAAGGTTGAGGGACTGATTACCTCATTCTACTCCTGTTCTTGAAGATTCTCCTTTGTATGGACTGATGAAGCCACTGTGTGGCGAAACGTTTCCTCAATAAAGATACCCAAGAGTTGCACATGTGTCTAATTTATCAAAGGTTCTCATTACATTGTATTTGAGCTTTTATCCGTGAGAAACAGCTGTCAAAATCAAGCTGGATATTAAACTGAAAAGGGTATAAAGTACCGACAACTTGAAGATTAAGACACATGTGCAACAGTTGGGTATCTTTACAGATGAAACATCGATTACACTGTAGGCTTCTTCAGTCCAATACAGAATAGTAATGAAATATGTGTGTAATGAGTCCAACCGTGGAGGAGAAAGTATTTGAAGTGGTCAGTCCCTCACTCTGGTATTGGAAATATAAACACACATGCAGTATAATGTGATCCTTTATTGACAACGTTTTCGCCCACACAGTGGGCTTTTTTAAGTCACAAACAGATCTACCTGGGGTGGAAGGTACGCGAGTATTTATAGTCAGGTTCAGAATGTTGAGGTCAGGTGGAGAATGCTGCATCTGATGATGTACCGAGTGGGGTTATAGAGTCTAAAATCTTGGGTAGCTTGGAAGGGAGATTGGATAAGATTTTAGACTCTATAACCCCATTCGGTACATCATCAGATGCAGCATTCTCCATCTGACCTCAACATTCTGAACCTGACTATAAATACTCGCGTACCTTCCACCCCAGGTAGATCCGTTTGTGAAAGTAAAGACACATGTGCAACATCTGGAAATCTTTAACGTAGACGTTTCGCCATCCAGTGGCTTTATCAATACAAATTCTAGGACATAATTGGAAGACTGTAGAAATATATACAAAAGATGAGGTAATCAGTCCCTCAGCCTTGGAGTTAGTGTTCACAGCATCGTGGTGGAGGAGAATCTGGAGCAAAGGCAAGAAGACTGGCGGTTATATAGGCGTCAGTGGATAAGGACATGCAGCAGACGAGGGCATAGTCACTGGAGGCGGGTTTCCCCCAGTGGAAGTTTTTGATAAAGCCACGGGATGGCAAAAACGTTTTGTTAAAGTTTTCCCGGGATGTTGCCCCATTGTCTTTTACTTTCATATGCCCGGGTATTTTTATACCTTTCTTGCACAACAGACCCCTTTTTGGTGACTTAAAAAAAGCCCACTGTGGGGCGAAACGTTGTCAAAAAGGGAATCACTTTTATACTGATGTGTGTTATTTTTCCCAAAGGGTGTCGGTTTTTTATACCTTTTTAATTTCCACTCGGATATTGTTGAAAACTCGTGGGAAACATAAAACCCCGAAAGGCTTGTGCAGCTTTTCCCGGGGGAAAAGGGGGTGGCGTTTCAGGTTCGATCTGGGGGAACTGGAGTTTTAATTCTTTCCCTTGGATCAGGAGACCTTTAAAGAAACAAAAAGGGAAAACAAAAATATAGTATTAAACCTGGAAAGAAAATGTTTTCCCGGAAATTTATAGCATCAAAAAAATTTCCCGAATAATTTTATTTTATTATAGGCTTAGGCCTCCCTACCTGGGGGTTTACCTAAAGGGGAAATTTCCCGGGGACCCCAACGTCCCCGCGGCCCGGTCCACGACCGGGCCCTTTTCCGGGGGGGAATGGGGGCCCCCTGATCAACGGGGTGTTACTGGGCCCACGAAAACCCCAAACCGTACAAACCCCCACACCCGGCTGATCCGGCCCCGGGTTTTTTGGTATCTGTCCAGCTCCCCTTGAAGCAACCAGGGGTTTTTCCCCGAATTGCCCCCTTATTGCTGGTGGGAGGCTTTTGAACAGCCCTATGGGCCCCGGACATTTTTTGTGTTTCTCTTGGTGTACCAGTGACGCCCCTACTTTTCCGGGGGGGGGTATGATGTTCTCCTCCCAAGTTTTTTGCTTTCGATGGAGTGATTGCTGTGTGCTTTTTAGGGCCCCATCCCTCCAGGCTTCCGGGTTTTATTTTTATGATATCTCTCCCCTTTCGCCCCAAAGTGGTAAAAAGTAAAGTGCTTCCGGGCGCCCCCAAAAAAATTTAAGGTGTTTGATGGAACTTATACTTTGCATTTAAAAGTTTCTTATTTCTCAGTCTGCTTTTTCAACCTCCCTTTGGAATGGGGATTTTAAATGTACGGGCAGTTTTCCCAGCCTAGAAAAGAATAAGTGTTTTAAAAAGGATCTTTCATTGGCTTAGCTTTTCTTGTCTTGAATGCTCATTTTTCCATCCTATCATTTTTTCCTACAGTGTGATAGTGGCTTTGGTTGGGGATCCGGGTAGGTGAGATCCTCTGAAAATTCCCCATCCCGGGTCTCTCACATTATTTTTCCTCTAAATTGTGTGTTTGGGGAGTTTGTATATACTCATTTTCTATTTATTATTTCCTCCAGTTTTCCATAAAGGATAGTTGAATTTGTCTTCATTGAACATCATATTTTTCTCTGTTCCCCTTTGGGAAAAACCCTTGGTTTTATATCTTTTTGGAGGTTAACATTTGTCCTAAATGGAGACACCTCATGCAGATACTAGTATCGTCTGCAAAAGATGATACAGCCCCCTGTGGTTTACATCTCTTTTCTATGTCTGATATGAGAAAAAGGAACGGGGGTTTAAGGTGCAAAGTACTGGGGCCTTTGGGGGGGACAGAGCTCTTAAATATGGCACATCTGTTTTAAAACCTTTTTAAACGCTACTCTTTGGGGCCGATTGGTTAGAAAGTTGAAGATCCATCTCCCTACTTTGCCGGTTATCACTTTAGCACCCCTTTTGTTTGCTTTTTTACCCCAGGGTTTCGCCTTGTAAAAAACCTTTTGCAAAGTCTGTGTAATTTACATCCGCTTTTCGGGTTTTTTTTTCCCGGGGGAAATCTGGGACCAAAACCCAAAAAGGTAAGCAGTTCCCAAAAGGCAGGAGGGGCCTGCTCTAAAAAACCTGTTGCCCTGGGTTGGGAAATTTTTTTTGGAAGTCTAGGTGGTTTGCTTCCTGTTCTTAAAACTCTTTCGAAGATTTTTATGTTTGTGGGATTTAAAAGGTTTGGGGTCTATATTTCTTAGCTACTCTTTCGCCCCCTTTTAAATGGAGTGGGGCAAATATCTTTTTTTTTTTTAGTGACTGGAATCTCCCCTGTGTCAAGCTCTTTTCCAAGCATATTTAAAGGGCCCCGTGAGAGGGGTTTTCTTGCATTTTTTAAAATGAACCCCGATTTTCCACAAGTTGGGCCTGGGGCTGGGTGCTTTGAGCATGTCGTCGAGGGGTTTTTCTCAAAGTAAAAGGGGGTTTTAGTTATGTCAAAAAATCTGGCCTACTTTGGGCGGGGTTTTTTTGAGGCTCATTCAAAAAAAAAAAATTGTTTGGATCATCTATTTTTAAAAATGGTTAGGGGCCCTCATTTGAAAAATGAGTCATACTGAAATTTTTTCAGTATCTCGCCCCTTTTTTCCCTTTGTTGTCGTCAGTGTAGGATCCTCTCGTCTGAGCAGGGACCCTAAAATAGAAGGGGGTTTTTACTTGTTTTTGGCATATAAAAAGGGAAAATATTTCGAATTTCTTTCTTTTTTCTTTAAATCGTTTTTAGCCCCTCTTGTCTCCCCTGGATCCTATATGAGCCCTTT